CCACTAAAATTGGCCACACTTCAGAAAATGTAAACATCAATATTTTATAGACTTAATTCCAATCCCTCACCTTCAAATTCCGGTTATAGACTAACAGTTATTATTAGGAACTTATTTTAAAAATACCCCAAGCAAAAAACAAAAAAGCTTCATTTCCCAGTAAGAGCCTAACTTTTACCCCAGGACCGTCCACCCCTCAGAAAGTTCTGCCATATGAGTGTAGTTGTGAACAAAGTGTAGCTCCAGGAGTTTTGTTCTGCCTAGCGGGGAAACTGTGGAAACCAAGCAGCTACCACAGGAGGTAGACTTGGCAGAGACCTGAGCATATGGGTTCAACAGCAGAAATAGATGTTACCATCTGGCACACCAGCCCCTCAAATGATTCCATTACCTCCTTGTGCTACCCCTTTTCCAGGTTGAGCACAGATGGCATTACTTAATTTTTTTTTTTTTTTTTGTTAATAACATCGTCCTGGTTTTAAGCAAACAGAGAAGTTGATGTTCGTTCTTAGAGGTGTCTGCCAAGGCAGAACTCAGAGAGATGGAGAGAAGTTTCTTAGGATAGACCACCTTGGATCTGACTGCTGGGATTGGAACTGGGGTGTTTCGTGTTAGAATAGGAAGAATTAATTCCCCAAGGAAAGGCCAACCAACAGGTCAGCTCTTGGAGAGAAGGAAGATTGGTTTCCAGGATGAGAGATGGTCTGCAGAGGGATTTCCTGAAAACAGTACTTGCTATCCCCAGTATGACTTTTGAAACCAGACTTCTGAAAGGAGTGGTTGGGTGGTTAGGTGATTCACTTTGTGCAAGAGTTGAACATAAATACTGACTGATATGGTCAGTAAAGCTAGCTATACTATGAATATCTCATTGAAAAACATCTAGAATCTTAATAATTGTGAACCTTTAGAATTTACATAGGATTATAGAATTTTGGACACACTGGGTAATTGGCTACATGGGTGTTTCCTTTTAGTATTTTGTTTTTCTTGTGGTTTATCCTCCAGTCCATGTGGTCAGGTATGGTATGTGGTATGTCCCATGTTGATTTCATCATATGCTTAACTAGCTAAGACACCACACCTGGATTCCAAAAACAGGATGACATTTCA